TCACAACAGCTATCATAAAATAGTCCTCTGCACCCTTCCGATTCTCGCCATGTACAACAAATTAAAGACATTAAATACGAGTTTCCAATATAGAGACTATGCAAACACTGACTGGGAAAACTTTCTATTTCTAATAAAGCACTCTGACTGGAGCAGTTTCTTTACCAGTGATAACCTCTTAGAAACATTAGAAATATTCAATACCACCACCAAATTTGCACTAGACACTACTATACCCTCTAAAATTGCTTCAAGAACAATTACTCCCTATATAAACCAAAAGAATACGTCTAAACTGAGAAAACTGAAAAGGACGTACTATATATCAAAAGACTTCAGTGCCCTGCACCAGATATACTCTGTACTTGATGGAGTACAAAGTCAACACAACAAGCATAAACAGGCAGAGGGACGTACTGCTCTCACTGCTGCATCTAAAGCCCAAACCTTATGTCGTCTCCTCGCAAAACGCATAAGAAAGAACGCAGATCACAACATTCACTCCTTACTGCACGATGGAGTGACGTATAATAACCAAACCGTCATACGTGAACTATTGAGTGAATGGTTTTCTCACAATGGGAATACATCTCATGCTCCAGATATCAACATAAAGTGCATCAGCAAAAATTATCTTATTACCATAAACTTCGATATTAGGAGTATACACACCGCCATTAAAACCCTTAAGCCAAATATGAGTTCTGGTGCCGATGGCATCTCTTCAATCCTTTATAAAATGTCAGGACCGGAAATACAGACGCTATTGCTCAAAATATACACATTATCTTAAGAGACAGGTACAAATCCGGACCGAGAAACCTGATCGAAAACTACAGACCCATAAATATCACTCCGGTTATATCACGCATAATGGAAAAAGTGATAAAAATCAACTATCTGATCACCTACTTAAGGAAAATCTAATAGACCCGTCACAACACGGCTTCATTAGAAGTACATGTGTGATGGACTTCTTTAACGAGGTTACTCGCATACGTGACCAGAAGAAACTAGTGGCTATACTATATTTCGATATTAAGAAAGCCTTTTATATTATTATTATCAGCTTTATTCAATTTTATATTTTTGGTACAAAATATGGAATTCTCAGCGTAAAGTATAATGTGCTTCATAATCTTCTAATTAACAGACTTAAGTCAGTTGGAATTATAAATCCCCTTTTGCAATGGATCAAGTCCTTTCTTACGAACAGATACCAAATAACCAAGATTAACTCTACAACATCTACATCTCGACCAATGACCAGTGGTGTTGTGCAGGGTAGTGTCTTGGGTCGATTGTTCTCTATAATCTACATCAACAATATATACAAGTGCTTTAGCACATGTAAGACCTACCTCTATGCCGATGACTTAAAAGTCATCTATAAAACTGACATTTTCAATGTATGTAGTACTATACAAACAACCCAACATGAACTCGACATGGTAGACGACTGGTGTAAACGCTGGAGGTTAGAGCTCAACACGAAGAAATGCGGCTGGTTATGTATAGGAGACACGTCTCTTAAAATAAAACAACCACACACTGCCCAGACTGGCATCAGTAAATGACCTAGGGGTACATTACTCACACAGTGTTGATTTCTCTGAACACATCTCAGTCGAAGCATCTAAAATGCGGAAATTGCTTGGCTTCATTCTCCGTAATTTCTACCAAAATAAATATAAAATCCTTCTTTATAAAGTTTGTGTAAGACCTATCGTTGAATACTGCTCGTTCTTATTTTCCAACCTACGCCTATCTGATACATTAAAGGTGGAAGGAATCAGTAAAAAAATAAGCCGGTTCAACTGTCTATGTTAACGTATACGAATTCCAGTTTCACAATCTCCTTGATGGTAGGTGCTTCGGCGAAGCAGTAGGTGGTATCCTCAACAAAATCGTTGAAAACGCCTGACAATGTATTTATCAGGCTCTTTATGATTAGAATAAGTCAATCAATCTGTGATATGGATTGTCTTCCCACGCTCACCACTCAGACTCATGTTTTCAATTTTATGCTGGATCACACGAACTCCCGATTTTGGGGAAATTTTGGCACATTTTGGGGAAGCCGCTATAGTGAACTTTGGGGAAATGGCACAAAAATCACAAAATTTCCCCAAAGTTGGGAGCTAACTCGGACTTTTACACTAGGATTGTGTGACTGGAATCAGATTGACAAGAAAAGAAAGAAAAAAAATCAGACAATAAAAGATATAGTCATTAGTATTCTTAACACTTCACCCTGTATATGCACATTCCCTTCTAAAAAACCGCTTTCCATGTACCAACCTTGACTTCCCTTCCTTCAGGTGGGCTTACTCCAACTTGTTGAACATCACGATTCATTTTTCTTTACTACTCCATTCTCTTATATGGAGCCTCTGACTTCATTTTACTCTAAAAAGAGATCAAATCTTTACCACACATCCTAATAACTCCCTTATCTTCACGACTAACCCTTCTCTCGTTCTTTTATCACCTCTCATTGCTAGGGCAAACGATTCCTGGTCTCCTGAAACCACACTCTAAAGTGCACGTAGGAGCCGATTGAGTAGAAGATTGGATTTTTCTGACGTTTCGTGACCTAGTGTAAGTCACTTCTTCAGAAAATAAATAACCGAATTAAAATTAATCCAAGTTTAAATAGTACAACGGAACAATCAATTGTTCTACTCATTGAGATATTACAAATATATTATTTTTATTTATAACAATCAACCCAATGCTCAATTTATTCGAAATTATCATACACATAGGAGTGTTTAACGTCCGAACACTATACTAAGTAGGACAACAGGCTTCCTTAGCTAGAACTCTAGAATCTCGTTCCATCGATGTGTGCCGCGTCACCGAAACGCGCATACAGGATCCGAGTAGCGTCATTTATTTCACCTTATCATGTCAAAATAAAGAACCAACTCGATTCACACTTCGTGTATCTGAAAGCCCTGATGCTGCTCCCCGCGGCCTCGCTGGCGTGGGTATAGCATTGTGTCCTAGGGCAGAACTAACTCTCTTAGACTGGATCCCAGTAGACAGTCGTTTGTGCGCTGTCCGACTAAACGGAACAGTAAGGACTCAGAAAGATAGGGACACTCGTCTATGCCTCTTCGTCGTTTCTGCCTATTCTCCCACTGATTGCAGCTCAGATGATGTAAACGATGAGTTTTACAGAAAGATTTCCGACCCTCTCCGAAAAGCTAGGCGCTCTCATGTAGTAATAGTGGCTGGTGACTTTAATGCTCAAATAGGTAAACTAAGCGAAAAGGAAAGACACCTGAGTGGATCTAACGGTTTCGCGGCTCAAGGTAAAGATAATGACGACCGTCTGTTGCAGCTATACTCAGATAACCGCCTGTTTCTTGCTAACAATAACTTTAAGCATAAGGAAAAAATATTTTGACATGGCGACCCTCGAATTCGTCCCAACGTTGTACCCAAATAGATCACATCGCCATCAGCCGTCGGAGAGGCTCGATAGAAGACTGTCGCTCATTCTGGAGCACATGCTTAGAGTCAGATCATGCTCTAGTGCGAGCGCGTAGGCGAGATATCCGTCTATCAACCAAAGGACAGGTTTACTGCCCAGCAGTTCGTCTTACTTTATGGCAGTGAAATATGGCCGGTAAAGGTAGAGGATATTCGTAGGTTACTAGTATTCGATCATAGGTTTCTTCGAAGCATCGCTCGCATATCCTGGAACCATCGAGTAAGTAACACAGTAGTTAGGAAACGCATACTAGGTAAGGGTGGAAAATCAATTGAAGTAGTAAAACGTCATCAGTTGAGATGGCTGGGACACGTGTTACATATGCCCAACCATCGACTGCCTCGAAGTGCGATGTTTTCTGGTGTAGGAGTAGGTTGGAAGAAAGCTATGGACGGCCAAAATAAAACATGGCATAAATCCATGAAGTCACTGAGAAGTGGTCCGAGTCATGTTGGTAGGTGTAGACCACCCGGTTGGGGACCGCGAGACTATATCAACCGATGGTTAGAAACGCTGAATGACATGGCTCAAAATCGTTTGCAATGGCACAGGTGCATCCATTATTTGTGTTCTTCCAAATTCTAATCTGAATTCTTCATGTCCCGTTCTCTTTCCAAATTTACTTCACTGAGTTATACTCCTTGAATAACATCTTCAAGCCCTAATGTTTTCGATTACTGCTTATACTTTTACTACCTCTATCACTGTGGGATTCGAATCGACAACTGCATCTCTGTGCCAATGTGATATGGCCATTCGAACTGATGTATGTACATACGAAGTTCTACGTTGTTACTGAGTTATTATTGTTTTTTCATTACCCTAATACATTTTATCGTCTTATTCAAAGAGCGTCCGATACTCATATTTGCCTGGTCCCACATTGTAGCTGACTGATGATAATAAAATTGGGAATCGAGCTGCACTAAGCAATGATGGACTAGTCCCATTTATATCTGATCATAATCACCAACCACAGCTCCATACACTTTATTCCGCGAGGCTTCCATAATGATAGCAGCATTTGACCTTTTATATTCAACTTCTAAGCTTGTGCGTTATAAACAACAAATTCGCGAAGTAATTTAGGAGTAATTTTATCCAAGTTACACTCCCTCATTGCATAATGCTTGAAACCAAATTATGAATACTAGGCAAGAATAGAAAACCAACTTCTGCAATGACAGTAGAATGATATTGATATTAGCGGTCCAACATATCTAAACAGCTAGTAAGGAAGCTCGTGCACTGTGAAACTAGGGTGTTCAGCATATCTTAAAATACTAGTCCATGAAATAATACGAAACTATTAAAATGATAGTGTAGTAAACATTTGAAGTTATTGGTGTGAGTAGTGCATATACAGAAACACGTCATTCCACAAAAGTACTTTAATAATACAGTCTCAGTGGTCACAAGTGCCTTTTAAAAAAAAAAATGATAGTAAGACGTTCGAAGATTTCAAGGTATCACAGAGGTTACAACAACGACGATTTTTGCAAATTAAAAAAGTTATTTATTGAATGTATCTTATACAAAGAAACAACAATAATATACATTTGGAATTCGCATTATAACAGCACGATCTTCCATTACTTATGGTTTCCACAGTTTTACTAAACCATCTTCTGAATAAGTAGCAATAAGGTTTTGATGAGGGTGATGTGCACAACCTATCACTTCCTTTTCATGAACCTATAAAAGAAGAATACATGATATTAATTGTCCACTTAAACTAACGTTAAATAAACAATATGGCCCAAGATATTCTTCACAAATTGTTTTTTGATGACGACCAGGAACGGTAAAGATGCTACTTTTTGACAATAGAATGGGTAAGAAAAAGTTAACTGTATGAGTGCTACACCCTAAATTACCCCAAAGATTTCAGTCTCAAACTATAAGGCATAAAACGCACAGAGTTAACTCATGTAAAACTTACTAGGAAAATCCTGGGTCCAACCGGCTTCTAGAAATTATACTAGGGGTTCTGTTGTCACGTTCTGACACCACTCGTTACCTTTTCAAGTCCCCCAGGAAGAAGTATCCTTCAAACGCGAAGCGATAAATGTCCTTATACCTCTAAAAACACAAGAGATCACCCTGTTCACGAACAATCCCCAACTGCACCACCAAATTTTGTTTGTTCTTGTTACAAAATAGCATCCAAGGCCTCCTGAGAACGAATATCGTACTACATAATCATGCTTTTAATGTTCGAAAGTTGTGTCAAATTAGACAACAGGCATCACAATCTATGACCGTACAACATCGTAAAATTGATGTATGATGGACAAACATATCATATAGCCATCAGCTATCATTGAAATGGTTCGACAGAACACTGTAACTAACACTGGATAACCTTTCTGGACTCTGATTATATTTTATCACAGTGAGATCACGCACTCTGATGAGCTTTACTTCTGAAGGAAAACATCTCCAATACATCAACTCAGATACAAAAGTCAGAAGAGTGAAGACAGAGACAAACTAATTGGCCATATATTTTATCATAAAGAAATAACACACTGAATCACATAGTGATATCCGAATACAGTTTGGTTTCAGATATGACGGCTGATGTACTGACTAAAAACTCATCCTTCATTAGATTTTAGAACATAGACATAATTATCAAATCCAGAATATAGTGGTATATTTCGATCTGAAGCTTGTATTTTACTCAGTTGACCATGTAATTCTGTGGCAATATATGTCAATCAGAGGACTACCAAAAAGTACATTAATATTGTGAAGGATTCCATCTCAGAAGCTATTGTAAGATTCATAGCTTACAAGAAAAAGTCGACCTAAAGTGATATTTGTCCAGATTACATACAATCTGGATTTTTATTCAAATTTGTTGTTGATGTACCTCTCTAGAGATATTTTCCTTATTTGAATATTCTGAAGTTCATTTCCCATAAAGAGGTTTGCTTGCCGACTTAGATACCTATATGATATAATCCTATTTGATGAGAACTCGAACAAAATGAAATCTAATGTTTAACTTAAACAGCAATTTCAGCATGTTCCGGATCCGTTTCACTACCTCAAAATACAAAATGTCACTCCACAACTTTCTGTGTCAATGATTGAACACGTGAAAAGGAATGAAATGTTCAAGCGCAACGACCAACTGATTCAATTAAGTAGTTTTATTAAGCCTCATTAGATGGTGTCTAACAAAATATCGGCATAGATTAAGCGTATGAGTAGGTTGGAAAGAAGCGACGGACAACCATACTAAGATATGTCATCAGTTGATGAAGCAAGTCATTGACTGTTGGACTACATCGTGTAGCTAGTTAAAGTCAGAGCAATAACAGTGATCAGTGGCTAGGCACTTTGGATGATATGATTCAGAATGGTCTTCAATCGCACAGACCCATTCACTATTTATCGTCCTCCCGGCAGTGAATTCCAGTATCCCTTCGCACAAACCTTTTCACCTTATCTTTTCCAATCCTATACATATAATGCATCATCATATAAACTTACTCGCATTGTTCGTTCTAATTTACCACCAGCAGCAACATTGAAACAATACAACAAATGATCTTCAGCTACACAATATATCCATTCACCTCTACCACTAAGTGTACAATCCAGAAAATCACCACCTTCTCGTTTACCACTAGAAAAACTTCGAACAATCTAATGATCAAGAAGAAAAAAACAGTAAGACATTTATGAAAGGATAATAATCATGAACCTAATTATCATATAAAAAGAAATGAAAAGAAAGGTTATTGATTGTTTGGATATACATGTAATTTACTTAAATCATGTTCCTCTCGAATTATTTCAATACTGTTATGTAACATATTTGTAATTATACATAACACTTACTAGTATTATAGTGAACGAGAACACACAGAACATCTTGGTAAAATCTGAGAAACATGTCAATCAGTCAGTAACTACGTGAAGCTTCGTATATACGTACTTCAGTTCGAGTTGCCATACCACATTAGCACAGAGATGCAGTTGTCGATTCGAATCCCACAGTGATAGAGGTAGTAAAAGTATAAGCAGTAATCGAAAACATTAGGGCTTGAAGATGTTATTCAAGGAGTATAACTCAGTGAAGTAAATTTGGAAAGAGAACGGGACATGAAGAATTCAGATTAGAATTTGGAAGAACACAATGAATGGATGAACCTGTGCCATTGCAAACGATTTTGAGCCATGTCATTCAGCGTTTCTAACCATCGGTTGATATAGTCTCGCGGTCCCCAACCGGGTGGTCTACACCTACCAACATGACTCGGACCACTTCTCAGTGACTTCATGGATTTATGCCATGTTTTATTTTGGCCGTCCATAGCTTTTTTCAACTTACTCCTACACCAGAAAACATCGCACGTCGAGGCAGTCGATGGTTGGGCATACGTAACACGTGTCCCAGCCATCTCAACTGATGAAGTTTCACTACTTCAATTGATTTTCCACCCTTACCTAGTATGCGTTTCCTAACTACTGCGTTACCTACTCGATGGTCCCAGGATATGCGAGCAATGTTTCGAAGACACCTATGATCGAATACTAGTAACCTACGAATATCCTCTACTCTTACTGGCTATGTTTCACTGCCATAAAGTAGGACGGAACGAACTGCTGCGCAGTAAACACGTCTCATACTTCATTGTTCTTTCAATTACACACCAATCAATCTCTTTTCTTCGATTATCTTAACCTTCCGTCACCAGGTATTTCGCTTTCAATTGATGTTTACATACTACTTATATCAATAGTGCATACCGCAATGTGACTTTATTTGAACATTTCAAATATTTTTAAAAAGTTGAATGATTAAGATTGGACAATTGTTTAATACAAATGTGAAACCGATTAACAATGGTCAATCTACTTTCTATCCCATATGTTGATTAGACTCCTGATAGAGTATCTCATTAAATGATTATCATCATTACTGATTGTCTATTTTTACAGTTAGTGTAATTATAAATACACGAATTACACCACTAGACTACACGTGATAAGTAAGATTCAGGAAATCAACTTTCTAAGGCTAAGTTATTAGGTTAGAATGTGACCAATTACCGACTATTGATAAATAGTTGCTATATGGCTACAGTTTTAATGTGACGACTATTCGGTTGAACAAATCGAAACTTTATCTAATTCCATATGAATAGATCAAGAACACTTTCATTCCCTATATCGAAAGGTATGGTTTAAAGTTGAGTAGGTACATACACATACCTCTCATTGTTTATTGAGTAGCATATGTTCAAACTGAAAAGTGTGATGAGTTGACATATGCAGTACAATGATTAAAACTTGATTATTTACCTCCAACCACCATCTAATCTCAATATATAGTGTACGCAATGTTGAGTCACCTAGACTAGTGACCAAAATGCTACTTGGTCGATAGCATTTGATCTGCACTAAATAAGGATTTGACACGCATGACATTGATCACTACCCAGTGATCAATCAATTATGATTACATCTCAGTCCTACAGGAGGTCAGTCGCGGTCCGGATAGCTTAGTGGTAACGGTCTCTGACTGTGAAGCTGGGTGACACGGGATCGAATCCGCCAGGGACTACCGGTTCCGTTAAGATTACAAGTACACCTTACTGACGAGTGTCAAGTAGCACGAAACCCGGGTCCATGGTTTCCTGTCAACTACCTCCAACCACCATCTAAATATGAAGTAAATCCAACGTTTCGTCCGATAATCTAGTTCCTTGAAAAAGTTTGGACCAAATTGTCAAATGAAACATTGAATTTATTTCAAATTCATTTGTTCAGATTTGAAAAATACATTTTTGAAATTATACAATGATACAATATCTAAAGAAAAAATCATTATAAATGATCTACCTGTCCTTGCATATTCATTATAGCAACTGTATTAGAACGACTAGCTACAACAAATTGATCTGTATTACGAGGCATTAAATGAACTGAATGAATTGATACTTCATGACCAACTAAACCAGATATTGCCTATTAAATAGAATAGAAAGATATACTTGATTTAATGATATAATTTGAATGTAAATGCAATAAATGAATGAAAAATCATACTCTTTAAATGAACTTATCCTTCTTCCTTCAATCACTATGAACTATTGACTTCCAGAATGATAAAAGAAAGTTAAAGATTCAATACTGCCCCCTCCCTCCCCAACAAACTAATATAAGTAAATCAATAGTGGTCCACCAGGGTGCTTGATACCTGTGTGGTTGCTCCACAGGATTGAGCTGTACTATTCAGATTGTAGCGTTAAATCCTATACGGTGTCTGGTTCTCCTGCTAAACGGGGTTGAACTGTACTATTTGGGTTGTCACGTGAAAGTTTGGATGGTGTCTGGTTCTCCTGAAAACCAATATCAAATTACCCTGCCCACAAGGGTATATTATATAACTAACTAAACTAACTAAATCAATGGTGAAATTTATAAAAACAAAGAAAATAATAAATAGATTAGCATTAGAGTTTAATCATACTATAATAAGTGAATATAATAAAGAGAATATATATACCTTAAATGTATTTGTACATTCTCCTGAACGAATTGACCATATTCGTACAGAACCATCAGCACTTCCACTTATTATATTATGTCCATCAGGTAAAAATGCTACAGAATTGACAACACCTGTATGACCAGTAAACTCTTTAATAATTTTACATGATTTCATTCCATGTATTCTGAATAATAATAACAATAATAATGATTAAGCATATAACCGCGAAATTCAATGTTTAGTTAGATATTGAATCATGTTTAAGTTAACACTAACAATCTGATTAAATCACTGGGATATATAATTTATTGAATGTTTAAAATACTATACTATAAGGAATCTCCCTTTTTTCTTCATTGTTTAGATTCGCTAATGCCCTGGTACAGCCGAGGATGGGGAGAGTCAGCTCTCCTTCTCCCAATGCTCTCACATGGACAAACGCATACAGCCACTGGTACGGAAGTTCTACTCACTGCCTTCTCGTAGCGAAGGTGTTGTTTATGAAATTGAGAAGACGAAAAGCGAAGGTTCGGCGCTTTAACCGAGTTGGTGGATATAAAGGATCCACCTAGGGGAGTTTGAAAACCCTGATTCCACACCAATGGTGTACATGAGCTCCAGGATCATAGGGAAACAAATGCGTGTGAACCATTTGTTGATCACCAGCTATTACGGGGCTGCATCTCCCTACCTTGCTCCACTGCCTTATGGATTAAACCATTAGGTCGAAGGCTCCAGGAGTGGCCTCCTAAGAAAACCACCTGCTTCGGTTTGAGCATCCGGGCAGTATCACAACCCATATACATAAACCAAATGACTTGTGTGGCGCATATGTATTTATTGCCCCTTTGTAATAATATTTATGTGTTCAAACAAACAAATAAGATTGGCTAATATCTGTTAATTTCACTAGTAAGTTAAATGCAATTACAAACAACTTTCAGTCTGTTATATCACGCTAACACATGGTTAAATATTTTCACTAGTCTATTTTCTTGTGGAATGAGGCTAGAATATTTTCAAATTCATGTGCATAAAGCAAAAGTGTGGAGCACCTAGACTTGGTGGCTGAAGCACTGGAATTTTAAACAACAGGCTACAAAATCGAATCCTGTTAAAAAATATTCAAGTTTGACCGATTAAGTAATAGTTATCAAGAAAATATTATATAGATAATTTTGCCGAAAGTCGATTACATAAAATGAAGTGACGGTGATAATTCATGACCAGTGGAGTTCAATCATGAGGGTTGTAAAACAAATATTATCAGTGGTAATGGGTAATCATTGCATAACATTGAAAATTGATTGAAGTTAGAAATGTAAACTATTGAGTCCTCACTTAGGGGTCTTAAAGTCAAGCGCTCATCATGATACCTCAAGGACTTGAATCCAATCTCCGGAGTAGTGGGTGGATGTTGCTGATAAACTCTGACTGGGGTGAAACAGATGTTTAGTGCTTCTTGGTTCCTATTGATTGTTTAACCAAACTCATTTATTGTATAAAACTACAAAATCTGACAATCTTTCAAAACCCTCTACACCAAAAACTTTAATAAGTCACGTATTATGTATAAATATATGTTCTATGAACCAAGGATATTTAGACTAGCCTGAAAAACTGTACAAAAACTCTATGAACTGAGCAATGTATCTTAGTTATTGGTTAACGAAATACTAGTTTGTACATTATTCACATGGGATTCGAACCCACAACCAATCAATCGCATGGTAAATGAGTGCTTTAGCTACTAAATAAATAAATGTATCAGTAAGTAAATAAAATCAATTTTGTGGATTGGTTGAGTTAGACATTAAAACCATTGTATGTCATCTCCGTAGCCTATAGGTTAAGCGTTCGAGCGCGAGACCGAAGGCCCTAGGTTTGAATCCTGCGGGCTGGATTGTGAATGCGCACTGCTGGGGAGTTCCACAATAGGACGAAACGGCCGTTCAGTGCGTCCAGGTTTTCGGTGGTGGTCTAACATCAATTGGTTCATGATCTCATTCAAAAACTTAATAAACTCCACAACCCCATACTGAAAAAAATCAAATTACCGAATGCTATGATCTAGACTAGCCGATAATAAGTGTGTATTATCTTTAGAGAATTGTATAGCTGTAACACCTTTATGATGTGCTTTTTCTAAACGTTTCAAACATTGACCATTTTGAATACGCCAAATTTTGATTGTTCCATCTTTAGCTCCAGATGCTAACATTTCAGAATCACGACTAAATGTTAAACATAGAACACTATCTTCCATCATCATAAATGTATCCTGAAGTTAAACAAAGGCAAAAAAGAACAAAATAAAGGAAATAATTACATTAGATTTCAGTACTGGCCATATTCCATCTAAACTTGTAAGAAAATGACTGCATCGAGACAATTCGTACACGATGTCAACCAGAACAGACGAAAATATCAACAATAGGATAATCAAGACCATTACAAAATTAAAATCATGATTTAATAGTTTAGGTCCAGTGCCTTAACCGGGTTGGTGGACACGTATAGTCCACTCAAGGGAGTTGGAAAACCCTCATCTCAAAGCAATGATGCACATGGGCTCCAGGATCGCCAAGGAACAAATGGCGTCACCGAACACCATGGAACTACATTTCCCAACCTTGCTCCATTGCCCTATGGATCAAACCTTTAGGTCAAAGGCTTTGAGTGTGGCCCCCTAAGAAAACCACCTGCTTCGATTTGGGTACCCGAGGAGTATTACAGCCCAAACACACATCAAGTGACTTGTGTAGCACATATCTACTTGGTGCCCACTCGTACTAATGTTTATGTGTTTACATCAATAAATTAAATTAAAAAATAACAATCTTTAGTACTATGTAATAGCAATATTAAAATGCAACATAAGTTACTGTCAAACAACATTTACATGCGTAGCAACTACGTGATCATCAGTGTCTTAAGAACAATACTCATTAAACAAAGCAGCCTACATGAACACCTGGGATACCTGTTCCTGACATCTAAATATGTCAACAAGTTTTCATGCTTGTTTTAACACATCATTATGTCAATTAACTGTATAGCCTATTCAGGTTGCTGTCAATATACATCGAAAAGTATATACATTATTTAGATGTTGATTCCTAACCTGCTAGCATCTAACTGGCGACCACTCAAGATTTATCGAAAGGGTAGATCAAGAAATAAGAAAAATGAACTTGTTGAAATACTTTGTACTAAGACTTCTATACTGTACCAAAAATATAATACTGAATAAAGCCAATAACAATAATAAGTGTATGATAAAATTATCATGCTGAGGTTAGGTATAAGGCTATATGTAAAGTGTATATCTATACAGACTCATATAATTATTTTTAACAGTTGAGATTATGAGTCATTTGAAGCTAGACCACCATGGAAAACCTGGAAGCACTGCTAGGTCCTGGTTCCGAATCTCGAGAGGCGGGGTCTTGGATGTGCACGGCTGATGAGTCACACAATAGGACGAAACAGCCGTTTAGTGCTTCCAGGATTTCCATGATGGTCTAGTTTCAAACTGACTCATGATCTTAACTAATAAAATTAATATAATATCCACAAAACCCCTTCTGATATTATATAGTTATGGCATGTTTATCATGCTCCCTAACATCAACGTACATGACTGTTTGTCATGTAAGCAAATTGAAAGAAAGCTAGAGGTAGACAAAGGAAGTCACAAGGAGGATCATAGAGTCCATTTAATGATATCTTCAGCTATGTTAAAAGGTAATAGCTCATTTACTGAACTAAAGTAGTACATTTTATTTTCACAACTCAACAACTACACTACCATATGCTACTAGGGAATCCATAACTGTGCATTTTTCCCTAATCACTGATTTAAATTAATCGAATAATGCAGTTTAACTGGCATTTATTGATATTTTAATAGTTGAATCAATTGAAGCCAGAACACCATGGAAAACCTGGAAGCACTGGATGGCCGTTTGGTCCTAGTATGGGACTTCTCAACAGTGCGCATCCACGACCTCGCCTCGCGAGATTCGAACCCAGGACCTATTAGTCTCACGCGCGAGCGTTTAACTACTAAACCAATTAGCCGGCATCTAACGGTGTTCATGGATTCAACTATGAAAATTTCTATAATATTCACAAAACCCCTCTCTGATTTATTGATATCATACATTGGTTTTAAAAAAGTATTCAAATTACCTGAGCTTGATATTTTAGATCTTTTCTTAACTTCCCAGTTGTAAAATTCCATACTTCAATAAAGCCATCAACTGAGCCAGTCACTAGGAATTGACCATCTGGACTAAATCTGGCACATTCAACATGACACTTTTGGACTACCTACAATGTAATAATAACAAATTACCAAAGATAATGGAAAAACAAAAACCTATCACAGGACACAAGAGCAGGAAGGAACAAAGAAAGAACCATGATCTTTAAAAGCATCTGTACAAGATTCATTGAGACTTATTTAACAAGTTTATGATTACTTCCAAAAACTTAAATCATCTTTTATTGAAGGGATAAACGAATTTGAAAAGTATGGACTATCAAATTTATACCTGAATAATGACTGAGAGATCTAAGAATCTGTTTCTTGAAACTGAATAGGTTATGTATAGGAAAGAATATAATTTATATTAGAATCAAATCACTCATCTAAGCTTGATTATCAGTATTTATGTAGTAAACGAAAACCAATTTATTGTTTAATGCAAATTGTGAAAACCATACATTAAATACTTCATTTGCAAATCTTCTATCAACTATCCTTTGCATCCCTTATGGTTCTTCTGTTTCTCAATTCTTTTATGTTTCCATTTCTGTTTTCTTCAATGTAAACTTCTTTACGTTCTTTTGACAGGCATTCAACTTCTGACTGTTGGTTACATACTATTTGTATCGACAGACATAAGTAGTATACACCACATTACGTCTCAGGTTCAATTGGATATATTCAGATGATATATGATGATATTCTTTTCTGCATACTGGGTGGTTTAGTTGTGAAGCTTTCACTGCCCATCACACAGAATAGAACACAAACAACTTGATCATGAGCTACAAATATTCTCCATCACTTAAGCTAATAAAATAAGCCTTACATTCACAGATCAAGTTTAAACATATGAGCCGTTATAAAACAGATGTAGAATAGTGACTCAGTGGTTGAGTTGTTCGACTTTCAGCCGCTAAGTCCCAAGTTTGAACTCCGTCCCATATACGACGACCGAATAATATCATTAACCCTTATAATCAGAGAAAGGTTCATACACAAATACCTAGTGAATAGGCTTATATATTTTAATTTTATTACGAGAAAGAAAACGGATGCTTATGGCTTCTTCATTTTAAGTTAACTACGAACCAACTAAGTTTTCAAGATTAGTAAGGTTAAATTATTCACATTCCATATACTGCATAACATAAACTTACTCGTATAACAGTAGATAATTTAGTAGGTGGTTTTTCTTCTTCTTGTTCACGTACTGCAGCTTTACCACGAAATACATCAATTGCTGTACCAGGTGGTAATAATCCTTGATGTTGTTGCCATTTAAGCGCTTGGCTAAGTAATGCCAATAAACGTGATGGAGCTACAACACTCACTTCTTCTGATAATGAACTAGCCAATGTTTGACGACGTTTCTCTTTTGATTGACCATTTAAATAAGCCTTGAGAAAAAATTATTATTTTTAAAATAAATTGAATTACCTCTCTTGGATCAAAATATGATCGATTCAAAAGATTATCTAAATGAGTATAACGATCAGATTGTGTACGTTTCATAGTAATCATTGGTTCAGTTTGTCGAAGTATAGATCTAGCTGCACCAATATCACGAAGTTCTATTAATTCAATGATAATCTTTTATTTAGTTAAAATACTATACAATAAATATTACCTGTTCATATAAATCCATTAATTTTTGTTCGGGTAATTTTAAATATTGTACAGTTTGTAATACAATATCCCAATGACCATTTATAATATCTGATACAAAACTTTCTATAGATTCAACAGTATTCAATGATACTCTTGTTTCTTCCTTGTAAAAAAAGAAAAGTATATATTAAAACTGATAACAATATTTTCAGAAAAGATAGATAGTGTGGCTAGCAGTGGAATGTAGGACAAAGCGCGTTTCGTCCTATTCGGGATTCGTCAGCTGGATGTAACCGCACATTCCAGAGTTGATATTCACTCCGGGAGTGACTTGAACCTAGTAATATTCGCTTCAAACATCATCGCATTATTCACTTAGCTATTGAGTCCTGATAGCCACCTGCTTGTGTAATGGGGTGAAGTTTAAATTCGCTTGGTGTTGTAGTCATAAATAACAATCAGAAGATACAAGTAAAACAACACCAAGTGAATTTGATAACAATACTGTCTTATATTTTTTTCATTTACCTGTACTGTACGTAATGTTCGTAGTAAATTACTTTCTTTTAAATATTGTTCTATTAGACGTACCACACTAGAAACAAAGAAAACCAGTTATATCATTTATAATGTAATAGTATTACTCAGCTGATTCAATTTCAATATCCATTACAGTAACAAATTGTGCGTAATATGAATCAGTACAATTTTAGTTCTATAAAAAAAGAGAAAAAGTAAAGAAAAGTTAAACGGAAAACAGAAAAATGTGTTCTTGAGTAAATTATCTAATCTAATAAGTAAACATCTATACTACTTACAAATGAAATATTTTAAGTTTATCAGTCAGCTATAACGTATGACCAGGCACATATATGCATCTATCCAAGTTGCCATACCTCATTAAAACAATGAGTTCTTTATTTAATCAACCTACAAAACCCTTATCTTCCATTCCCTTATGTTTTAATTGACTTGTTTATTTTAATATTTAATATTTTACATGTAAACATAGAATTTTATTACACGAGAAACCTATTCTTCTGGTGTCAGTGTCTAACATCAATCGGTTCATAATCTCAATCAAAAAAGTAATAATCTCCACAACCCCTGTACTGATAAGAAAAGCATTAGTGGAACGGGAACTGATAACACATGTAAGCGCTATGGAAAAAATTGTTACTAACAAGCGCCATAAATAGTCAAGCCAAACATTGCGGCTATCTGTCCAAGACTATTGGTGTGTTATCTTGGGTACCAACTACTTACATTTATCTAACCTTTAAAGTTAAGTTCTTTAAGCGCTGATCATTTCTGAAAACGCGAGCACTAATGAAAACTAACTTTGTAGAAATTAAAAGCAGACATTCTCGAAGAGATACGGGTAAAAATAACTTGATATTAATTACCACAGAAATTGGCTATATATATATATATATATATATATATATATATATATATATATATATATATATATATATATCGCATTTAGAGGAGGAACAATGAAACCTTTTGTTAACTGGTGCTTGAAGACATGATAACACCAAAATTTAAGTAAAATCTGGTATGTTTCTAGAAGGTACAATAAAACGAAGACAGCACTAGCTGAAATATGAACGTGTGGACAAAATGGTGAAGAAAATCTTCGCTTAGTGGGTTTTCGAGTAGTCAGGTCTTGGAAGTGAATGCTACCAAGACCTGTATGGATAGATCGTTCTCTTTATGAGTTGGATATATAAATCATCATAGTCTAGAAAATAAATTCCATGGACTAGGAGTGTTAGTGAACGAACTAAGGCCACTTATCGTAGCTGTGATCTCAACTTAGTTAATCCGTGACTTTGGTGTTACTCCAGAGTTATCGGAATAAAACCACCTAAGGAATAGTAGGAATAGATGAAAAAAGGGAGTGGAATTCTTATAGGCATAGCTAATAATACAAACATCCGTTCCTTCGTTTGTGAATCCTATGACAGTGGAACTTGTGGAGTCATTAGTTGTGAACTCACTTTTGAAAGTTGTTTATTTGTACTCTGTGTCGTCTACTGCAGCTAATTTGCCCAGCTGAGGGCTTTATTTTAGAGCATATTCATCTACGGGGTAAAAATGACAGATATCTGACGTTAGGGGATGTTAATGCACCCATACTTGTTGGACAGAGATGTATACCGTAAGATTTGAAAACTTTTAATAACATGCTCCTGATGACGGTAACGGAACATGCTTTAGTACAACATGTATCCGAACCCACACATTTCGGTTCAAACTAAGAATCTTTGTTAGATTTAGTAATTACTCATACGACTAAGGATATTGCCTATAAAAATATTCTCCCACCTTTAACAAATAGCGATCACGCTGTTTTTGTGATCCATGTTTAATTAATTTATTTATTTATTTAAACATATGAATATTGGTACAAGAGGGCACAAAATATATATGCACCACACCATATTTGTGTGTGTGGGCTGTGACGCTGCACGGGTGCCCAAACCGAAACAGGTGATTTTCTTAGGGGGCCACATCCAGAGCCTTTGACCTAAAGGTCTGATCCATAAGGCAGTGGAGCATCGTGAGGAGATGCAGTCGAATGGTAGCCGGTGACCAACAATTGGTTCATACGCCATTTGTCCCCGCAGGATACTGGAGCCCATGTGCACCATTGGTTTGGAATCCGGTCAAAGCGCCGAACATTCGCTTTTCGTCCTCTCATTTTCGCAAACAACAGTAATGACACGAGAAGGCCGTGAGTAGGACTTCCCTAGCAGAGACTGTGTACGTGTGGCCGTGTAAGAGCATTTCGAGAGGGAGGGCGGGCCCACCCAACTCTCGGTCATACCAGGACATTTGTGGGAGATCCATGTATAAAGCTTATGACATATTATATGATCAGGTTAAACCTCGCCCCAATGTGTGAAAAAAATATCGGCCATCTAGAAAAGCACTGTAACAACGGATTGGTTAGTAAATACTAGCTCATCAATCGAAGAAGCATGGTCAATATTGAAAGGTACACTGAGCTTAGTCACGTCCTTATTTATACAACACTTGGTAACACGATGGCCAAATAACTATTTACCATGGATAACTAAACAGGTCAAGAAACTTATTAGACGTTGGAAATGGAGTGTGTTTATCTTTACAGGCTTTGAACAGTACGCATCCATTTATTGTAAGACTAGAAACGCTCGCAAAGCATTGATAAGTAAGACCATAAATTCAGATGAAAAACGATTGGTTAAGAGTTGCGAAAATAGTCCGAAAAGGTTTCGTTCATATATAGAGAGAACGCAGAGGTGATGGAATCCGACTATATTGGCGAGAAGTGATGTCGCAAAAGCTGAAGGTTTAGAAGAGCATGACATTCATCCTGGAATTCTGAAAGCCCTGGTGGTGTAACTGCTGAACTACTGGTCGCACTGTTTTATATGGTTTTGGGGCAGTTTGAACTGCCAAGAAACTGGATAGACGCGGTCTATGAGGCGGGAAGTAGAGACTTAGTCAGTAACTATCGACCCGTAAGTAAAACCAGTGTTGTCATCAAACTTATGGGGAAGATTATTCAGACGGCTTTTCTAATCTGTGCGAAAGGGAATACTTATTTATCCAGGGAACAACTACATCTCAGAAAAGACCTTTCATGCTTGTCAAACCTAGTTGCAATAAAAGATTGAATTGCAGCGAAAGGTAGTAATAATACGGTAGATGTAGTATTTTAGATCTAAATGAAGCCATGACAAGGTCGTTCATCCAGATTGTTGATTAAAATTAAGATTATCAAGATCCATTATGTAGTCGTAAACTGGATAAGTGGCTTTCTACATCATAGAAGACAAAGGGTACGGGTAAATGGGGTTCTATCAACGTAAGAATTTGTAAAGAGTGGAATTCTTGAAGGTACAATCCCGTATCATTTGTTGCTTTATGTCAAATAACTTACCAACTGTAAAAAGTCAATTGTTCTACTCTTTGCACATGCCAAAGATTTGGAGACCCATACACAGCATGTCAGATAGAATATTACAGGGTGACTTAAATTCGAAGTTTGAGTAGATGTTTACTAGAAGCTAACTCTAACAAATGCGGTGATGCAAATAAATAACTGAGACGATTCATATCACTACACAATGTTCGGAGTTGTGTGATCTACAGTAATAGACTACAAAGATTTAGGAGTGGCGAGACTATAATGTTTGGTCGAACCAGCCAGATTTAAGACCTAAGGTCTTGGATTTCTATGCAAAATCCACTCACCAATATGGTTAAATAGCATTTTCGCATCACAGCAGATGTCAGTTTGTGATAAAAACCCTAGTAGTTAATATGAGCAATGACCTAAAAACTACGAGACAGCCGCTGCCAAAGGTTTCGGGATGTTCCAGGCTGTTTACAAGTCATACCACAAATTAGACGAAATGACTGAGGGTGTTACGCCCGAATTTTGTAAGCCCACATTTAGAATATGGAATCCAAGCAGCGAGTTTTTGTTTTAATTACGAAGTGAATAGGCTTAAACGAGTTCAATGGCAACGGACACAAATTGTAAAACGTCCCTCTGGACGTCCTTATGAGGACAGACCGAGACGTCTTAATCTACTTTATCTTACAGTAGGTTACAGGGTGCATTTAAACTAGATTACTGTAAACTAAATGATAATTTCGGCAATAATGTCTTTTCCTTCTATCTAGAACGGATCGTCTGAGAAGACATTCTAAGAAATTCCAAATGCCGAGACCAAATTTTTTTTAATTCTGAGGTTTTGTTCCTCGCTCCAAGTATACTCGGTAGTAGTATATACTACAGAAGCTTCTGTAGTATATAATCTTCATTCTAGAATGATTATAGATTGTCTATCAAAAAGACACCAGTAGGTGAGAACCACTTAACTTTCATGAAGACGAATTTCGAACTCTAAAAGTTTAATTACTTGCGTTTGATAGCTGTGTGGACTAGATCCAAGTAAATATGATCCGGCTACTCCTCCGTAGCACTATAGTAGCGCAACATCCGAAATTACGCTATCAATCTCATTCAGTTTTTTTTAGTTTTGATCTTAATTTTCAGTACTCTGTCATGTCACCGTCTTTCTGCAAATAAACCCCATATTAAATATTTATGACAAATATAGGTACTGTTAATCTCACGTCCTTTTCTCTAGCAATATTCCACCAAATTACGAGGTCTCTAACAAACTGGTTGAGATTATTTTAGTTGACAACTTAAAAGTCATTGTATTCCGTCTAGTTATTCAAATGGTCATATTAATTTGAATTCAACTTTTTTCTCATCCTAAATTTTCGAATTAATCCGAAACTTATTGACACAGACGTTTGCTTTTTCAGTTGACATATCATATATTATCTCATAATCTTATTATAAAACTGACCTCATTTTACATAGATTTATTGTCATTGCCTAGGTTTTTCACACCTATATTTCATAACAATTTAACAGTAAAATATTTATAATCGAGTGCCGTCTCCTTGGACAATAAGGATTCTGGAGTTGGTAGCTGTCATATTACCTGGCAGCCTATTCACTAGTTATATTTTCACAGTCGCTTCATTGGATGCAAAATTTCATTTTATATAATATGCCTGATAGTGAGAACTTAAAGTTCGTGAATTGCCGCAATCTTGGTCTGTATAACGAAGATTACGTATAGCACAGACTAAAGTTTCCTCTCCTATTCTCCTTCAGTTTGATAGTATAACACAGGCTAGTCATCTCATCAATGGTCACTCACTACTTAAGCATATCTCAATATTTAAAAAATCATCCATGACAGGACTACCACCCAAAATTGAATCACCAATCAACTGTAGACCAATCAACCCAATATACGCGCTAGCGACAGCCACAAATTTGGCCACTGCTGAAACCGTTAAGTGCCATTCCCTTGCCCTCCTGAAAACTATGGCACGTCGCGTGCAGCTGTTACTTCTAAGATCAAGACCGTACACGAAACAACTGCAATCACTCATCCTAAACTCAAACGCCCAACTCCGGATCTCAATCCACTTATACATCTATAGTGCTTCAGTACTGTCCTAACGGCTCCGATAAGAAACCAAAAAATTTCTAAAATTAACTTTCCTGGAAGTTGTTCTAGAAGATTTAACCGTTCAATGATTGAATTACGAAACAATACTAGGCCCTCTGAGGAAACCCACAAGCACTTCAGTGCCCTCAGCACACAAAATTCATCTGCTAACAGCAGTTGAAGACCCTAAAACACATGGTGGACTGACAGTACCACACATACTCACGGAACCTGAAGTTTCTTCGGTGTGAACCTTAAAAGCAATAAGAATCAGAACATATCCATTCAGTTCGCTCTGCTTCTATTTTTACTCCAAACTTCCTTTGAACTACTTTTCTTTAACCAGCAATGTTGACACCAACTCAAACTAACAAGATTATGTAGTCGATAATCTTACTTATTCCACTTTTTCTCATGGCGAATACTCACCATACCTGACACTGATTATGATCAATGCTCAATCTGCACAATTTAAGGTGACTCGCCCACTTAAACTGTTACTTTTTAAACAAATCCTCGCTTGTTTCGATAGCGGAAAGACGGTTGTCTTCCGATGTCACTGACCTATAATTTCAAGTGGACATATATGAACCCTCTCTTTGTGATCGAGTCACTAAGAAAGGCAGTGTTGTGTTTACGTCTAAAAATATGGGAGCGGAAATCTATAGAGATGCTCTCCTCAGCAAATAACCTGATTCTATATGGCTTCCTGAACACGCTCATGAATACAAAATACTAATTAAATGTTTATATTGAGCTCTAAACACTTCTAATCAAGATTCACATTTTTGAAGTAGGGACAGAAATCTTACGGCCTATGTTATTCGTTTTCGAGTATGTTTCTATGCGTATTCAGTCTCCTCTTGAATGAGTCAATTAAAGGTATTTGCACGAATGCTTCAGGTAACATGTTCCAAGAATTGATGACTCGGTACGAAAACCTATGTGCCACAGGTGTTTCGTTCGTTTTTGGCTTTTCTACTCGCCTGCTACGTCCTCTGAGATATCACGACTTAGTAGGAAGAAAAGGAAAGAAATTTTTAGTCCCAAAATAGTTTCTTAGTATTCTATACATGAAAATTAGATCTTTTCTTAATCTGCAATAGAATAAAGTAAAGAGGTCTAGCTTTTCAAGCCGCTCATTGTGCGGCAGACGTCGGAGTTCTGGAATTGCACGGGTAGCTGTCCTCTATATTTTTTCAGAATATCCAAGTTACCCTTCAAAAAGGGACTTGCAGCTTGAACTTAGTTTTCAAGCTTAGTTCTTATAAAAGTTGTGTATACTCTGGTGAACATGATAATATCTAACTTGGTGGATGTATATCTTAAAGTTTGTATGGTTCTAAACGCTTTGGCTACAACCTTTTGGCAGTGGGCCGTGGACTCAATATCACAAACCACTGTCACTTCAAAATCTTTGTGAGACCAGATCACGGACACAGGCACATCCTCTATGTTGTACCTATTTACCTTTGTATTCTCGAAGTGCATATAGTCACACTTTGCTGCGTTGATAGGCATCAGCCACTATCTCGACCGGTTAATCAAAACATTTAAATCTACCTGAAGTGCGCAGGCATCTGTGTCTTTCGTTATTTCTTGCCAGACTTTTACATCGTTGGCGCATAAAAACATCGGGAATTCCACTAGATTTGAGATATCATTTACGTACACTATAAAAAGTATAGGACTTAGAACAGAACCTTGAAGTACACCATTAAGTACTGGTCTCCAGATGGACCACTCCAAATCCAATCTTTCTTTCTGTCTATGACCTACTAGGAAATTCTTAAGCCATTTTAAAAGAGGTCCGGCAATACCAAGATTTTCTAACTTCAACAGCAGTCTATTTGTTGGCACCTTGTCAAATACTTTGCTAAAGTCTGTATAGACAACATACACTGATTTTCCGTGGTCTGAAGTTCTCATCTATTGCTCCCTGTCTATGAGGTTTGTTGTGCATGATGAACCTTTTCTGAAACCAAGCCGTTTGCCGTTTAACAAGTTGTTGGTTTCCACAAATGTCACTATGGTATTTTCGACTATTCTTTGAAGTATTTAACTACGACACTGCTAAGTCTGACAGGTCTGTTGTTTGATGGAATTGGTCTTGGTCTTTTTGCATGCACTAAATTAAAGATTGCGCCTTTCCGCTCTGCAGTTAACATACCTTGGTTAAGTGACATATTGAATATGGTACTTAGTGGGGCTACAATATATTGAGCAACGTCTCAGGATTTTGGGATGAATTTCATCTTATCCTACTGGCTTTTCTTTGTCTAAAGTGCTAAGAGCATTAAGCACACCGTTTCGGTCAAATTCCACTGTGATCAGGAGGCTTAGTGACTGTATACTTAGGTCTAGTTCTTAGTCTAGAGGTTCCTGAGTGAAAATGCCCCCAAACAGTCTTTTATCATTTCAGACCTATTCACTTCCTTGGCTAGGTTAAGAATTCAATGCTGCATCCTTGTTCTCTAATTTTCGCACGAAGGTTGACTCTTAGGCTGCTTTATTGCAGGTTGTGCCAACTGCATTTCATATTTTCACTGAGCTTCCCTGATTATATTTATAAACTGACAACGACTAAATATTTCTTCTTTTGTCTTAGAAAACGTCAAATATCCTGGCCCATCCAGGGATAACCATGCTTCTTCTTCGAAGCTGTTTGGTGTAACTTTGGTTGGGTCACCTGATTGTACAAAAGGCATGGTTTTTATTTGGCTATGATAATTTCACATACATTCCTTCAGTGTAATCGTGTTTCTATAATATCTGAATTATAGATTTCTGCTCGTGTGATGTAAACATTTTCCGAGAGCAACGATTCGTTTTGTCAAGCTCTAGATAAGTCACGTCTTACAAGCAAACATCGTTCAGATGGAGTGCTAAAAATATTGACGTTATCCTGTTTGCAGTTTCAATTGTGAACTGACCTCAGCTAAACCATCACTAAAAAACTGGAAGGACTGAACGGCCGTATCGGTCTAATTTAGGACTTCTCATCAGTTCAGATCTCGAACCTACAGCCGGGAATCACTTATTGAACTTTTGGTCTGTGGACTACTATGGTGCCACTCAAGCTTTAACGCTCAACTTCAACCGATTCACGATATACATTGCCTGAAGTGGATGTCTGTATCATACATGAGAAGGTTGAACCCCACTAGTCACAAATTGTCATTCGGACTACAGAAAACATCGCACAGTGACACAAAGGCCTCCAGTTTCCCTTAGGTTTTCTATTTGTGGCGTACCTAGGATCAATTCGTGATTTAAGCTGTTAAAATTCTTCAACACGCATAAATTCAAATATATATCCGTAACAGACACTATCTCCCGGATCAAAAGACCAGCAGGTGTGTTTATAGATCCTAAACGGTTTCGTCAACTATTCATACTACTTTTGCTCAGCTCTGAGGAACTTTTTATGCGCCGCCTAATAACTTGACCGATCATGAAAATATCGATCTCCCACTGTCATACAAATTTGCATGGTCAAATGAAAAAATGTATGTTTTGCTTTTTATCGTCATCCATTGTCAGGTATATCACCGTTTTCTACCCCCTAAATCTAGATCCAGACTTCCTTTGGCGCTCAATATTGCATTACTTTTCCCTAAGTTCCGGGGCTCGTATTTAGTTTCTGTTTCAAGTGGACAGATAACTCATTGAACCTGTAGATACTACTCAACTATGATCAGTTATAAGAATTTTATATAGTTTTGAATTATCGTGAATTCCTTCTAGTTGACCCTATAGAAGTTTGAACATTTTAACAAGAATTCATGGACATTTAAAATGTATTTATTCTCAGTATGAGTTTATAGGGATTGTTGAATTCGAATTGAGATTACAGACCGAAAGATGTCGGACCGCCATCCAAAACTTGAAGGTTCTGATTGCCGTTATGCCCTTGGTATGAGACTCCTCAGTAGTGTCTATATATACGATCGTGCATGTGGTACGAAAACCCAGGTCCTTCGATCTCGCACTCGAACGCCTTAGTGTTAATCGTTCGTATGGGAGACCGAAGTTTCAGTGTTTGTGTCCTGCGTGGATGTGTACTACTGGGGAGTACCATTTTAGACTGAAACGGTCGTTCGACGACGAGGTCTAACAGTGTTCGGTTTTGTTACCTCATCTACCTATCGTTTTACCCACGGATTAAGCGAACCCAACCCTCTTTTTTTAATATTCTTTGATGAGTTATATATCCTTACTATTTTAACTATATATAATTTGACCAGTATCGTGAAATTTGTACCATCAGTTGACGTAATGTCAGTGCAGTATACTAAATGAATATCCAACTTAAAATACATAGCTTTAGCTGTCTAATTTGCTTTTAACATGTAATAAGCAGAGACAGTATATTTCATCAGCGTGAGCAACATAAGCTTAGATTATAGCAATATATTAAAACATAACACGGAGGTCAGAGTGCCCAATATTATAAAAGAAGGGCGGGTGGCGTCACTGACGTTGGGAAGACAACCACAGTCCAACCGCGTCTGTAGAACAGAACGTTTGTTACAGTGAAGTGGGATGTAACTAACTAATGTCATTGATGATAGTTCTCTATGCTAAATACCTCTTCCATTCATGTTCGTAAACTTGAACTGGTTTCACTTCATACTGAGAAATCCTATTACAAAGACGGACGATTACGCTTAATGGAAGCTCACTTATGACTCTACAAAAGCCAAAGTAAATAAAAAGTTATAATAATTGGCATGAAGAAAGCCACCTGTGTATCCGAACACTATATTTTCCTTATAATATTTAAACATATGCATACTCTTAGATTTTCTTCTCTCTTAAAGGTCTTTTGTTTATACAGTTCTTTATCCAAACTTTCGGCTTGTACTCTTTAACCTTTCGAAATACACATGCATAAAAATGTACTTTATATCAAGAAATATGTTCGAGTACTTACTCCTTAATAACCCCACCAACACACTACCCCTTACCAGCCACTGACAAGGTCTGAAATGCTTTTCGCCGTTCCCTTTTTCCCTTTCTCATTCAGCATCCTCGTGATATACCAGCGAAAACATATGTAAGGAACTTGTGAAGTCGTCTTACGCCTTCATTATGCTTCTGATATTTCGGAAAACCACCTATAACCCTCCTTCATTTTCAGGTACCACTAGAAGGACCCTTTCACGTCGTGTGCAGCCAAGAAGTGATAGCCTATCTCATGCATCTGACTGCAATTAAGGTCATTGAGTCCGTGACCAGTTTCCTTTTTCTATTCCTATTACTCCTCATATGTCAACTTTCAACTATAAACTTCCTCAAGTGTCACAATGGCCGACGGATCTAGTGCGCAAAACACTGTCTCAGATCTACTGAAACCTCGCTACAATTTATACATTGGAGTCTTCAACGTACCCACCATGTTTCATATTGGCTAACAAGCCTCCTTGACGTAGACCCTGGAATCTCGTACAATTCATGTATGCTGTGCCTCCGAAAAACACATACAAGATCCTAGTAATAATAATATATTTCTGCCTGAGCATGTACAAGCCATTTTTACACGCATGATCTACAAATTACAACATTTGTTGGTGCACAGCATGCTTCCTAAATTATTAAGTTTTTAGTTATTATAAAGTAGACTCGTAAAGCGTTTGCTGTAAACAACGACCTTGGTGAGACGCGTACGCAAAGTATGTTTCAGCATAAACAGAGAGACTACCAGATACGCCGTATCTGGCAACCCGATGGCTAGTTCTCATTAAATGGTGACTTTGATGCCCAGGTAGGTAGATTAAACCAACCAGAAAGATATTTAGAAGGATAAATTGGTATTCACGATCAGCGAGCAGATGGTGAACTTCTCCTGCAATCGTGTTCAGCTAAACGTCAATTTTTAGAAAACTCCAATTTTAAACATAAGGAGAGACACTATATCACATGTCGACCTCCTGCACCAAACCAACGGTGGACCAAATTGTATCTTTTGAAAAAACCTTGATTTAGCCTCCAAACTGGTATGCCTTATGTAACAAACTGTTATTTGAGAATAAATTATTATTGCCATCAGTCATCGCTTTGAATGGGCGCTCATTCTGTAAGACCTGCTTTTGAGTTTAAAACCACCTCTTTTAAATAGCGCGGCTGAGATGTTTTTGGCATATATTGATAAACGCACTCAAGTGAAATTTAAGACATCAAATGTTTTTCATACAGAACTGAAAAATTAATTTACTGTTAGCTTCACTAGGTGGAACTTGAATCTGTTTTGTTGTGTCATAAATTAGGTCAGTTACACGTTCAGCGTGTTGAGTTTGAGGATGTGAGTGTTCATTATCAGTAGATACTCTAACATTACTCATGTAAATAGCGAAGAGGAATTTTACTTGCTTTGAGATCATCATGAAATAAGTAGTAAAGTACTCTACTATTACGTTATATGTGATAGTCATTAACATTTGAAGGGCGTTTGGAAAAATTACTCATCTTGAGTGTGATTAGGCTTTTAGATAGTGTTTTGGATTTCACAATATATAATGCAGTTCCTCTTGTTGTCTACTTATTTGCCATAAAGTTTCGTTTCATTCAAGTAAGGCATTTGAGGTTTTCTGATTTGTAAAACCAGGAAACCAAGCTAGGATTATTCTCAAATTCCATCCTATTTTGATAGACATGGATTTAGACACAAAACTAAATAAAGCTTTCTAATTTTTTAAAAGTTTGTATTTAATGCTTTTGATCATTCTATTTGTGTTATACGCAAGAGGTCTCATATATCAGTTAACTTCCTTGTATTTTTCATACACATAGTTCCCTTTATCATTTTGGAAACAGCAAGAACAAATATTCTAGCAGAATAGCACGAATTCATTTTATTTGTGTGTCATTCCACAATATAGGTAGCTTTCGCATAACTGTTTGAAGCTCCCCAGTTTGTCACCTGTCCTTATAATGTCGTAGGTCCTTTGGATAGGCTTTTTTCGTAAGTTCTCAACACTTCATGTTATTCAGATACGTATCAGAATGTCTCAAGCAATAACTTTTAGACAGTCTTCTCACAACAGGACAGGCTATTTTGTCTCTCAGGCCTTTACTGGTGCTAGGACATTGAAGGGGTTGTTCCTGTATCCTAGTAATCGAAACCTACAAAATTCTATTTATCGAAGCTTTCATTAAAATAACCCATTAGATTACACAAATGGTTTATTTGAGATTGCTGAATGTCGTCGCACATAGAAAAATAAGGTTTTATGAATGCCTTGAATTATCAAGGTATTCGATTTTTTCTTGTTCCTTGTGAATGCTGAAGTGCCTACTTAAAACAGTTAAGTTGATCGGTGTCTGCTATATATATATAATTATTGTCAATGCCAAAAGCTGATTACATGGGGTTTTAAAAAAATGTAACAGTGTATTAAAAGCGTCGTTCTCAAATATTCCCTTAACCCGTATAATCATCCCTCTGCTCTGGAAGATTACATGAAAACACACACTTGCGGGGAAAAAGCCGTTCATCGAAACTTTGGAATAGGTTTTAAAAATCATAATATTCTTATCGGCATTGATGATAAAAAAATATCTTAATCACTTTCAGAAGGATGTCTAGACATATGTCTCATGGGATTTTTGTTGTTCTCGAAGGAGCAGATCGTGTGGGAAAAACAACACAAGCATTACTTCTAGCTAAAGCTTTGTCGGAAATCACACGTAAAGAGACTCTGTCTGTCAAATTCCCGGATCGTGATACTCCTCTGGGACGTCAACTAGATTCGTATTTAAGTGGGAATGGCGATATTAACAAACATGCATTACACTTATTGTTCACTGCAAATAGGTGAGTTTGTTTTTGAATGATGATTACTAATTCTATTGATGCTTATGTACCTAAACTAATTACCACTGATTATTACTCGATTATATATGTATTCCTGACAGTAGTTACGTATGTGCGTAATTATAAATTAATTCGAAGAGTACGACCCTAAATATGGTTGTTGAATATGTAACAGTATTAAACAAATAAAACTTGCCACAAATACTGAAAATACAGTAGCTAAATGTTAAATCAGCTTGTATGGTATGACAGCACGTTGCGTTCAACCTTTCTTCAGTATCAAGCGCAGCCGATCCTAATTTAGTACTATGTATTGTAGGTTTTTAAACAATAATTACGATTTCATTGAGAAATATTTGTCAATAACTCAGTACATGAGAGATTTTTTTCGGATCCATCATGGTGGTTATAAAGGAAAGGACAAACTGATATTGCAATACCAATTGAGCCCTAGTAATTCAAGTCCTGATCCTGCTTATTAGATAATACTGTATATTCTTAGGTTGTAAACTAATACAATTCTATAAAATAAAAATCCCCATTGGACAGTTCTCAAGTAGTAGTCTAGTCCTTGCTTTTAAATTTTCTAAACTCACTACTTTAATATGTTTGTAGTGTTCATGATACGTTTCATAAAAGTATGATCCAAATCACGCTAGAATTAAAAGTTTAAAATTAATTTGACTACTTTCTTTATGTATTCTATTGTAGCAGTATGTCAGTGGTATACCATTACTTTTGGGGTGAGTTGCTTACTTGCGTGGAACTACATAACTGTTTTCATTAGGCGCCTTCCTTATTGTTTGTTGAAAGTCAGCATTTTTCCTGTGCATCATCTAATTCGATAGCTGATCTAATATTTTAGTAAATTAGATGGTTCACAACCACGAAATTCGTACATGATTACTTCATGTTTTAGACCTTTCACTACAGGCTGTGTATTTCATATTACTCGGTCTGAGGCCATCGTCACCAACGTGATCTATTATGATTCCAGCCAATATATATATATATATATATATATATATATATATATATATATATATATATATATATCATGCAATTCTGATCTTTTTAGATGGGAAAGGCAGTCTGAAATTCGGAAGGCCATTTCTAATGGAATACCTGTTGTAGCAGACAGATATATATATTCTGGGATCGCTTATACAGCTGCTAAATCTCCACCGACTCCAAACTGGGAATGGTGTTGGGAAATGGAAAAAGGTCTTGTAGAACCTGACTTGGTGATATGTTTAACACCAGGAAATCTGGACGAATTAAGTTCTAGAAATGGTTATGGAAATGAACGGTATGAAAATGATGATTTTCAAAAGCGTGTTCTGGAGAATTATGTCCGGATTTCCAAAGATGTTGAATTAGATAATAAAGATAATAATGATGAAAATGATTCAGTTGGACTTTGGCATTTCATTCAAGCAACAGATAAAACTGTCGAAGAAGTGCATAAATGTATTATGGTACTCGTTAAATCTAAATTGGAATCGATCATTGGCCCAGAAATTCATGAATGTACAAATAAAAAAGATTAATAAATTCCATTATTATGTATTGAAAATTGCATTTGTTATTGCTTATTTATGGTATCATTGTTTTTAATAGAAGAGGCTTTTCATGTTGTGTTTACATTGATCAATACAATTGTGTAAATCAACCCAGTCCATTCTTTTGCTATAGTAATAGTAATCGTCATTCGTTAGCACAATTGTAACAAGATCATAAGCAGTTTTGTCATGTAAATTTCATTCCCTGAGACTTGATGGATTAAATACATTTTAAACATCAACTGCGAATTACTTTAGGTTTTGTAACCTAAGGTTATAATATAAGTATAGCCACACTATGTGTGAAAGAGAACTATGGCATAGGTTCGTAATTAATCAATAATGAGTAGTAAGTTGTCCATGAGTTCTAGCGCTATATTTCCGAGATGGTATTATGAATAAAGAATGTATGTGAACATGACAAATGTATGATGATATTTGAATGTCAAATACAATCTACACATATCCCATCTGAATGAACTATTTGTTTTCTACATTAGGTGGTTTGGAATACAGTTTGCATAACTTTTCCCTAATAATCGAATTTACTAATGATATGGATTAAACATTTAAGATACAGAGGAGCTGTTAGTAAAACCAGATGAACTGTCAAGAATACCAGAATATAGAAAACCCACTTGAAATGTTTGTGTGAAAGGTTTACGAAGTTGAGTTCCCGTTTATCGAAATGGGGATTAATTAATGTTCCATGGAAATGGACTAAAAATAAGCATGTACCAAGATTTGTAAACAAAAATGTGACACAGTTTGTTCCAGTAAATTTGCCTTCATATGTGCACAATCGCAAATATTTAGTTTCCCAAATAATCGTCAGTTGTGTCTTTTCGTTTAACCAACATTTCTTTTTGTCTTAGCGGACACATTCCGTTTAAGTTGAATTGAAAGCATGAAGTACAAACCTCGTGAGATGATTATTTCTTTAAATGATAAAAATGAGACGTACAGACATAGACTTCAATAGTAGCATGTTTGCAAGAATCTTAAACCTATAAATAGCTCACTTTAAATCAATATTCCGCCCAGTTTTCTGCATGCGGCAAATATCGTCTCACAAATCTGATCACTTCAGCTTGCATTTTATCACTATATCTTTTTGTGGAGGTTCAGTTATACTACACACCACGAATAAGAAAACGTGTAGTAGTTGATGCATCGGTAGAAGTATGATAACAGGATACATAGTTACTACTATGTATTCCACTAAGACAGTCACTAGGAATTACATCTAAAATAAGGACAAAAGTTCTCCGACCGTGTTCAAATAATCGTCAATTTTTAGAAAACTCCGATTTTAAACGTAAGGAGAGACACCATATCACATGTCGACCTCCTGCACCAAACCAACGGTGGACTCAAATAGACCAAATTGTATCTTTTGAAAAAACCTTGATTTAGCCTCCAGACTGGTATGCCTTATGTAACAAACTGTTATTTGAGAATAAATTATTATTGCCATCAGTCATCGCTTTGAATGGTCGCTCATTCTGTAATAACTGCCTCAACCCCGGACGTGCTCAAATACCAGCACGCATATGTTTGGGCCTCACCGGAAGCAGAAAAGTGACAACCAAAAGACCTATTAGAATGGGAAAACTATAAATAGGTTCCAGGAATAACTGAGGTCACACTTAGGTAGTTCTGAAAACGAGGCTGACCCAGATGTTGCTTGGAAAGAAATACAAACAGCTGTGGAAACGGCAACGACATCTACTTGTGATTTGAACCAAAGAGTGCCTAAGAACCAGATGACTTCTGCTAAGTCTGTTGCACTGATAGATTCGCTTAAACACATCCCATCAGGCTCCGTGAGCAGTGGTGGGCAACGGAAGCAAAAGAGATGGGAAGAGAAGCGGCTGTAGGTAACGTGAGACAGCTCTACAGACTTATAAGAGAAACTGGAATTAATAAGTCAAATGTAAGTGAGATGACGTCGAGAAAAGATAACACTTCTCTGCTCTCATTCCAGACGTTTAGAACGATGAGCAAAAAAATTTAAGGAGCAGTTCAACTATACTACAACTACCCACTACTCCCAGATAGCTTGGATGGATCGTTTAAGTAGATCTCCCTGACCCTAGATGCAGTTCGGAAAGCCATGTTTAATCTAAAACGAGGAAGAGCAATTGGTCAAGATGGATTCATTCCAGAGGTCTTTAAGGTTAGTGGTCTAGTTTCAGCGATTACATCGACTAATATTTTGGCTAAAATCTGCAAACTGGATGTTATCCCATGTGAGTGGTTGCAGTCATTGATTGTCACAATATATACGAAATAATCCAAATAATCTTGTGATAACCATAGACAACGGGTTAGTTTGGCTAACATAGCATTTAAAATACTAGCCTCAATAATTATCGGACGTCTGCCTAACTATGACTCGTGAACTGAAACACGAGAAAATGAAGATGGCTTCAGACCTGACCGTGACTGTATCGACCACATATTCGCGGAGGAGGCACTCAAGAACCGAATAAAGAGATCGACGCTAAAGATTATTCTGAGGATTAAATTGACACCTTTTGCTGCCAATCATTATTGTTTGGACTACCTAGATCGAAAGCTTAAACTAACATAGACAAGTACGGTTGTGGAAACAGCAACTACACCTATTTGTGATTTGGACCAAAGGGTGGCAAAAAGCCAGATGACTATTGCACTGATAGATTCTCGTAAACCCATTTCATCAAGCTCCGAACACGATGACGAGAGAAGACAAATCAGATCTAGGTTAACCAAAAATTTTAAGGAACGACCATGAGGAGCGGTGGGGAACGAAAGCGAGATAGAAAAGGCAGCTATTGTAGATATCAGTAGACATTTTTTCAGACTGATTGTTAGCGGGACATAGATTAGATTGAAGGATGCTCAATGCACGATTGCGTTGACGCACGCTGATTGGCTAATTCTTATTCGATCAGCGCTAGTCGATACTGGAAGAATACTCTAGAAATCTTCTCATGTACAAAACTATAAATAAACTAACGTTTTTCCTATTGTGCTTCTTATTTCCATCTAACCTTGTTATTTGGAATATAATTTATTTCCTGTTCAACCGTATTCTGATTTGGGGATTTGTCGAGAATACTAAGCAATAGGAATAGCTGGATCGTAATAAGAGAGAATTATAACACTAATAAAGGAAACCGAAATCAAGAAGTTAAATGTAAGTGAGATGATCTTGAAAAAAAAGACGACACTTATCTACTCTCAGCCTAGACGTTTAGAAAGATCAGCGAAACAATTTAAGGAGCAGTTCAACTATTCTACAACTACCCACTACTCCTAGATAGCTTGAATGGATCGTTTAAGTAGATCTCCCTGACCCTAGATGCAGTTCGGAAAGCCATGTTTAATCTAAAACGAGGAAGAGCAATTGGTCAAGATGGATTCATTCCAGAGGTCTTTAAGGTTAGTGGTCTAGTTTCAGCGATTACATCGACTAATATTTTGGCTAAAATCTGCAAACTGGATGTTATCCCATGTGAGTGGTTGCAGTCATTGATTGTCACAATATATACGAAATAATCCAAATAATCTTGTGATAACCATAGACAACGGGTTAGTTTGGCTAACATAGCATTTAAAATACTAGCCTCAATAATTATCGGACGTCTGCCTAACTATGACTCGTGAACTGAAACACGAGAAAATGAAGATGGCTTCAGACCTGACCGTGACTGTATCGACCACATATTCGCGAACTGTCATCTGATTTTGTGTCCGACAAGGCTGTCCACCATCTACATTTTTTCTTAACTTCCTCATAGACCTACTGATGGAAATAACGTTTTTGTCGACTGAATTTTCAGGCGTTGATCTCCGTCCAGGAAGTCCACTTCTGGATTTAGAATACGCAGATGACAGTCTCGTTTGGTGAAGACGATGATAAAATTCAGAGTCTTTTGATAGGACTGAGAAGCAATGCCAGAATTTTTGAGATGTGTTTTCATCCCTCTAATCGCAAGTTGTTGCTTCAGGACTGGCCTCCATCAACATCTGAACTAAGGATAGGGAGTAATGTAGTCAAACGCTTATCTTGGAAGTCTGATCAGTACCAGTGAGTTGGTGTTTGACATCTCCGCATGAATTTAGAATGCTTGCTTATGATGCATTGATCTAATAATAACTGAACCAAAGGACTAAGTATTTATGTTGGTAGTGAAAATATCATAAGATGGACAAATGATAGTGTGTGAAGTAAGTTTTTTTATATATTTTTGTTTGAAAAAATTAAAAACAAAATGTGTACAAGAAAAAACACGCTTTTAAACGATAAATTAAGGTTTCCAAAGTTTTAATAAACCATCTTCTGCATATGTTGCTAATAAATTCTGATGTGGATGATGAGCACATCCAATTATACTTTTATCATGAACCTAAAAGTATAAAGAAAATAAATAATTGTAAATATATATCGTATTATATATAGGCGAGACTATGGACAAACACCACGATTCCGTACTAATATACTGTTTAGTTTCGAGAGGAAATTCCCGGGAGTTCTAATGAAAAGCTATGACCCATGGAGTTCAGCTTTGTTGTATGTGAGGAAGGTACCTACCGAAGACAATGGAAGATGGTTGCACAGTATCGTGAATTGATTAAAGTTATACTTGTACACCATTGGATCCCAGTTTAGTGGTTTACATGTTAAGCGTTTGTGCACGAAACCGAAAGTTCTTAGTTTGATACATGGATGCGAGTGAGTCCTATACTAGGACGAAATAGCTGTTCAACGCTTCTTGACTCTCTCAGTGGTTTTCTAACTTAGGTTGATTAGTGATTTAGATAAAATTCTACAACCTTATGGTGTTTTACTGACTAAACCTAAGTTTTTTTTTAAATAAAACACTGTAAATATTTGACAAGTAGTTTTTGAATGAACTTACATGTAAAGTATGCTCTAATTTTCCACCAGATCTAACACTGAAACAATACAATGACTGATCTTCAGCTACACAATAAATCCATTCACCTCGTCCACTTAGTGTACAATCAATAATATCTCCATTTTCACGTTTATTATTAGTGAAACTTTGTACAACCTAAAAATACAAAAACAGTATCAAATATAAACATAACAATCACAATTT